CAAAAAGCTGGGGGTGGTTTGTACTTTTTTTTTTTTTTTTAAATGAACAGCAAATTATACAACTAATTGCTATGTTCAATAAATAGTCTTTACTCCTGCATTGATTAAGGGCAAATATTCAACTGAGTATAATTAAAAAAATAAAAAATAAAAAAAAGTTTTAACTTCAAATGCTATCCGCTGTGTGGCGGTCTGGAAGCTTATGTAGAAAACAGTCTCAATTTTCAGTGTACAAGAACCTATTTTCCCAGTCAACCAAATATCAAGTTTCGCTCTAGCTCAAATATTCTACATTCAAAGCAACTACTTGACAAAAGGATCCTCTGGTTCATGACTACCTAAATAAACCTGTCATTACAGAAAAGGCTCAACAGTTGTTACTTGTTTCTCAAAGTAAACATCTCAACAGAAAGATTAATGAGTTACTTCAAAATGCAGGTTTATAATAAAGTATCTGAGTGTGCATATTACATGACATGCAAGCTTTAAAAWTATCAATCCTTTCTGCTCTTTTGATTAGCCAGAGTCCAATTGTTTTAAAAACAAAATCAGAATGACTTCCAGAATGTATCAACACCTTGGGGTTTCCATTTATTTTGCTTAGGATGTTTTACTACACAAAACTACAACAATTACAATATTTAAGAGTATTACAATAAAGGGGGATGGAAAACGGGAATACTTCAACTGAAAATATGTATACTCTAAATGAACCAAAGATCCGTAAAAGAACTGGACAAGGAAAGGAAGAACAGGAGAGGAGGCAGAAGGGTAGCTAAGATCTGAACTTTATATTTAAAAATCACGTCCTCGCTAACTCTTCTGACGTTCAGTAGCGCCCTGGAAAAAAGAGAGAAGACACCGTGACTATAAGCAAAGGAAGCAGCTTGAAAATGCCCCACCAGATGAACCAGTTTTGCCAAATAATATTAGTAATAGCAAGGTTTAAGCCAGCCAGATGCTACTTAATCCTTTGTGTTTACTTACTTGGACTATAGGAGCGGGATCTTGATCGTGATCGGTATCGACTATAATAAGGTGACGGAGATCGTCTCCTTCAAAGGAAATTAAAGAAAAACCCAACAGGGCGCGTTACGAGAGGCCTCGTTCACCCGCCTTGTACAGCACAGAACCATCCCCTCAGCAAGGAAAGGCTCTGGCCTGCCTGAAAGATTCTGGTTTCCTTTGGCCGAGGCTTACTTTAAAACAAAACAACAAAACCCCTGATGTTTTTATATTTCTCCTGTCAATGTTTTAGACAACATTTATTAAACCCTCACTGGCCCTGCGAGTGCACGAGCTACTTTCACACGTGCACACAGCCCTTGTTTAACAGCACTCCACGTGGAGTGGAGTGATGTCACTCCACGTTGCAGGGCATTACTCTACCTCCTTCAGGTGGCAAGGCTGACCCTTCCCCAACCATTCACTGTGCARCTGTTTTACAGAAGCCCTAAAGACTAACACTGTTTTAACCCTACAAAACACAACATATATATGTAGGCAGTTTTGCTATAGATAAAAGGAATTAGGAGACAAAACATTATTCCATTTCTCCCACAAATCCTTTTTTCCCCACAAACTCAGAATTACCTGTATCTGTAGTCATATTCTTCATATCTGTCATATCCTCTGTCATAGCCTCTATCGTAGTAAGAGTCACGGCGACGACCTGCTCCTCCACCACCTCCTCCTCCGCTGCTATTAGGAGAGGGGGAAAAAAAAAGAACCACACCTTCAAGCAACTCTTCTTGATCTCAATTTCACCTATTTAAAAGCTTTGACAGTGTTCTTTTAAATATACACTTCAGATTGCAACATAAACTAATACGAGTTTTAAAGAAAGGAAAAAGAATACCCCGGGCATTTATCCCACCAAAAATTAAAAGACAAATGGCTACCTTTATGTTTTCTGCAAGCTACATGCATCTTAACTATGACACACTTTTTTCTCTCTCTAAACTCCTTCAGTAAACTTTGGGAAATGAAGACACAAGAAGCCCCAGTAGAATAGCACATGAATCTCCATGATGAATAATTCACATAAATACTTTATGATAAAAGGCAATTAGCAATATTGATATAAATTCATTTGGGAAAAAACCCTCAGAATTAGTTAAAAAACATAAACATTCCAGAAAAACAATTTAGTTTCTGTAGTTCTGTTTCTTCAGCCAAACTTCAAACTTTCCATTTATATCAACTTTAGCGTCATTAAAAGGAAATGAGGTTCTTACTGGGTTGGTCTGCCCATGTAGATGCCTGGAGTGGGTGTATGGGCTCTCTTGGTGATGGAGTAATCCACGCGGATCCTCCTGCCATCCAGCTCCATGCCGTTCGCGTGCTCCATTGCCTGCGGAGACGGGAGAGACGGGGCCGAGCTGCGGGGGCTGCTGCTGCACAGGGGGGCGCGAGGGGCCCTTTCGGGCGGGAAGGGCCAGGCCTGGGGCTGGTGACGAGTGCCCCTGTGTGGCGCGCGGCCGGCCGGGTGCTCGCCGCAGGGCTGCCCCGGGCGCTGCGCCGCGCCGCCCACCGGCGCTCCGCACGCCCGGGCTGCTGCCCAGCACGGAGGTGAGCACAAAAGCCAGCGTGGGTTTTCCTGCAAACTGCATCTTTCCTCCGGCCACCTCCAGTGCGGAGGGGCCGGGCGGCTCCCAGGCTGTGCAGAGCAGTGGCTTCCTATAGGGTGCACGTGCATATGGCCGGATTACTGCGAGCCGGCTGCCATTTCGTGCTCTCCCAGCCTCCTGCCATCTCCCTCACAAGGGCCCGCTCCAGCGGAGCTTGGTAAAATGGCGGGTTCAGCCTAGAGGGCTCCCTAATTGCGGCCGTCCCCACCTCGCTCACTGGCTCGCAGCGGCGGCCGCAGCCGCCTGCAGGATGGAGCGGCCCGCGGGGTCCCGGCGCCGCGGCCGTGCCCGGCCCCGCAGCGCGTGGGGCTCCACTCAGCGCCACCAACGACAGCGCTTCTAAAGTAAACTACTAACGAATTAAAAAAGGAAGGAAACAAAAAAGCCAAACTAAACCAAAACCCACCACCATCACCACAGCAATCTAACATTTAATGAACAGGCAACATTGGATTAGATGATAGGTATCAAAATTTGTAAAGATAAAAACCTTTGGTTCTTCCACCCGCTGCTCTAGGATTTCTCAAGTATCAGATCACAATACTGGTTTCTCCCAAAACACAAATTATTTTCATTTTCTCCCAAAACACAACTGTTTTTATTTTTACCTGTGGAGCAGAGACACTGTTCAAATCTTGAGTGTTAAGCCACACAACCACTTTGCTATTATTTAATCTCYGTGGCACGACGTAAAGGGCTCAGAGCGTCAGAAGTGCCTCTGAACTTGGCATTTTCACTTTTTCTTTGGTGCAATCAACAGCTATTCAGCAAGGTCCTGTTTTTGCAGCCTTACCAGGCTGAGCTACGGGGGAGGAGAGGAGAGCAGCTCGGTGCTGTCGTGCACAGCCCCACAGTCCGAGGCAGTACCCGCCCGGCCCTGGGATTGCCTCCTGCATGTGTTATACTAACACCAAAGCCGTCCCTCGATGCAAACCAACCACCTCCYGGCTCGGAGGCTGATGCCCCATTCGCCAAGCGTGGGCTAAATAAAAGCGAAACACGTGCATGCAGTGCAATAACCTACAACTGAATGCTATAAAAGGCTGTCGAAAAATTAGTTTCCTGGCAAAAAGCAGCTCTATGGAAGCAAGGTATTAGATTTGATAGGTAAGGAATTTTCTGCWTTATGGCACTTGTATATCAAAGAACAACTTTCAGTGTGATAAACTTAACTGACAACAAGCCAGTTCAACCTGAACATCTGGCACACGTGTCATGTTTACTTAGAAGACTGAACACCTCCGAGAGGAAAGAGGAAGATTTATCCGACATGGAGCAGAACAGAAAAAAAGGCAACCTACCAACAAGACAAATGAGYTCATTTTGAGAGCCTTGGACATGTCAAAAAGCCCATCACATTTCAGAGATACAGAGTAGTCCACAGCTCCCGTGCTACATGAAACCAAAGAGGCCTGGTCACAATGTCCAGGGAATCACCCAAAATAAAACCTTCATTTTTTGGCTTTTAGCAATTGGCAGTAAAAGTTGCTAAATGTGAATTTTTAATTAACTGCAAATCTGTGTGTTGGCAGTCAGAAAACTGACTAAGAACTGGAAATGATGCAAATGAAAAAATAATTCCTAGATGACTGTTTTAAACTTGGGAGTAGTCTACCCAAAATAATAAAGTTCTTTCAAAGTCACTCTAACTAGAGACAGGCTCAGAAGACAAGAGGTTCCCAAACTAGAGCCATGACCCCTAGTGGCTCAAAACCGCTATACAGAAAACATTAACATGAACACAGCTGTATTTCATCTGGTAGTTACTGCAGTATTTGGGATTTTCCAAATGTACTAGTATTTAGGTAGCATAAAGAAAGAAAAAAATGGGAACACTGACCACTTCTGATGATACGCAAAAAAAGACCCGGGGTGCCTGGTGTTAGCTGAGCAGTCAGAAATTCACTGAAGGAAATGAACTTCTAGTTTGTAGAATTCCACAAGTAGACAGCACGGGAAGCTTTAAAGAACCTGCTCTGTCACGTGCTTGTAGAGAGGAGCTTGGCTTTGCAGAGCTGTCAGCATCCTTCACAAGGACTAATACACAAACTAATTACATTTCTGCCAGGGAGTTCAAATAAAGCATCGTGTGCTTTGTACAAGCATGTGAAGTTTTCAACTTACTGTCCTAAGACTCCAGTAATGGGACATCACTACAAAATTAGCAGACACAGACTGAGTACTTAGCAATTTGTGAGTTGTTACAGCAATATCTATATATCCTAGACAGTGACCAAAAACACCCTTCCCCTATTATACTTAAATTCCCCCAACAGAAAGATCCTCTCTACTCTATCACAGGTCCTGCACAGGGCAGATACAAATGAGGAACTTTTCCCTCAAGATACGAGTATCACCAGCTCAAACCTGGACTGAACGAAGACAACCAAAAGGACATTCCAAAAAACATCCAACAGAAGGAAGGAAAAACAAACCAAAAAAATCTAACAAGGAAAACAGCCTTTTCTTAAAACTTACTTTTTTTAAACAAGAACAGCAAGAGTCAGTACTGTTGTTTGCCAAGTTCAGAAGAATTCAGCGGCCATTTCACATTTCAAGKGTCCACTGAAACTGTCTTCTTCGGAATGAGTGTCCATCTTCTCTAGCTTGAGGGKTTTTTAGACAATCAGAATACTAGTAGTGACATACGTGTATTTTTGTTTTTTAAGTTTAAACATCTGCTTTTTTTTTAAACTCTGAAGTAGACTTTATAAATATAGAATTAAGAAACATACAGTTTCAAAGAGATAGAATGAGCAACTCAATGTGCGTTTCTATAAGCATCACCAATTTCATGATATTTCATAGTATCCAAGAGGTTGTAACTTGTAATTCCAGATAGCTGGGACTTTCCCGTGTTCTCTCTTGGTGTATCTAAGGTCCCTTGGATACCACAACACTTAAAGCATTTGCTGGACAAGSTGTGGGAGAAGCTTAGGCCAATAATGATGTTTCTGAACTGGCCAGCTTGTGCTATAGATTAACCATCTTGGGAATTAAGATAAAAAGACTCTTGTAAATACTCTAGTCCTTAGAAATTGAATTATGTTAATAGCTCCCCCACCCCATATATAGCATTTCCCTTGCTTACTAACTAAGATCATTTCAGAAGAGAGTTCTGAAACACAGTCAAAAGCGTAAACAGCCCATAACTAGCGTTAGAAAACTTAAGTGTTGTGTTAGTAACCTGCCTTGGGGCTAATGGTCCTCAGGTGAGTTCTTGTTACAGATGCAGAGTACATTCTCTATAGCCTCAGTTTTGGGAACTATCACTTTATATCATGACTCACTGAAAAGCAGGACAGMTGCATGCAAAACCCCACATAACTGTACTAAGAATCATCACCCTATACCACCAAGTGCTTTGTACTCATAACAACACTTTTGTAGAAGACATTTTAAATATCTTTGTACTTTTTAACCTTGTGATAAGCGACCTCAGTATATAGATTTGTACTATTCTCTAACACGAAAAGAAATGGAAAATCCCAAACTAATAATAATGTAATGGGCAATAAAAATCTTTCAGCTAAAAAAGACTACAAACCCAGCAGTCAGTTTGGTAACAACGTTGCAAATACTGCAAATTACCAAAAGAGAGACGTCAATCTTTCAAAACAGGTCTTCAACATGAGATGTTTACAGATATTTCTCTGCATAATGTCACTGTACTCATATGTGGTTTGGAATATTTAGCAGAAGGATGGTGAGCATAATGATATGATGCTACAACAGACAAGGCCAGAAAGCAGTTCCAAGCATTACTTTTCTATCAAAAAAAATCTTTAAAAAGAAAAATCCACAAAGCATTACACCTATGGGTGACAATATCTATTCATTTAGAAAAAGCTACATAAAACTTTTAGTTTTTCAAACCAGCTTTCAACAAGCCTACTGAAAAGAACACACTAGCAAACCTCAAGGCTCCTGGATCAGCAGCTGCTGATCCTCACCATGCAGAGTCTCCTGGTTAAAATGTGGTGGAGGAAGCCAGCTGACAGCGTCCTGGAGTTTCTGCAGTCCGGGTCTGAGCACAATGAGCAAATCAAGGGCCCTATCTTGCAAACACCAGGCCGCTGGAATAACAGGCATTTGCTGGGAAAGGAGTATTCTGTCTAGGCCATCATTTTATATCCTCAGGTTCAACAGAGTTTGAGGAAAAGCAGAAGAGATTCCAAGGGAACGTTCCTTCACAAGGAAGCATGTGTCCAACATTTTATTCTGGATCCTGTTCAAGGGRAATGACTGGGGCTACTGTGATGCTCTCCCAGCTGTTCTAAGTAGGAGTCATCAAAAACTAAAATTCAACCTGCCTATAACCAGGATGGTCATTAACAACTGATTATGGCACCATAGCAGCCTTACTATTACCTTGAAGTTCTTGAAGACCAAARCTCCTTTAGCAATTACGTGAAAATAAGCTTCAGCACCCTTCACTGTCCTTCTGTATTTTTATTTAGGTGTAAAGAAACCAGAACAGCATCTGGACACAGAGCACTTATATGCAGCATATAGAAATTCCCAGAGTAACAGAAGCTCAGCTTTATAGTGGAAGAATGTCAATGAATGTCAAGTTCTATTTACTGATGCCCTATAAACTATCTGCAGCACTCCTGGAAAGCTATGCATTTAACACAGACRACCGGTTAAGCATTCAGGGAAGAACTGAGGCCAGAGAACATTTCCAGAATCTCAGAAGATGGTCCCAAGTTGCAGATTAGGTCCATTAAGGAGGTGTTAGTTAATACAAACTGTAATTGATTACATGTACCAGGTGTACCCTAAAATTGTGCATCAAGTTGACAGTAAGCCCCACTGAGAATAGTAAAAAATACCACCTTGTAAGGGCACTATTTTGCAAGGTCTACAAATTTCCAAAACACTGAGCTAGTAAAGATTCAACCTTCTTCACCACCATAAAAAACTAGAAAGTTTGTTTCACTTGGCTTCTGAACCTTAGCAGATAGCAACATTTTAACCAGCTTAGTAATAGCTCAGATTTGTAATAATAAAATCTCAACAGGATTTTGACTGCAACAGAATCAACTTAATTTAGAGCAATCTCTTGCAGGACTACGTTGTTATAGAAACTTAAACATAACTATTCACAATTCACTGGGTGACATATTTCAATATCAACTGTGCTTCAAAGTATGTCAGCTGAGACGTTACCCTTCTGTTACCTTTCTTTCAAGGACAATAGGGAAGATAAGAAATCCTCAGAATTTGTTCTGTAGGATTCTTTAGCTATCTAATCCACATAGGTCTGCTTTAAAGGCTGGAATTCAGCTAAGCATATACCGCTTTATATTCTTTATTCAGAGGTGTAATTAGAAAGTAAGCAGGTTTCRGGGAAAACACTTTATTCAGAACAAAAGTAAACAACAGCTACACACCTGCAGCCTTTCAGATTTCTCCCCATCTTCCATATAGAATTACTTTATGTCCCTCTACATTTCTTCCACAGAGCTTGCAGCAAGGTTTCATACCTAGACCTGAGATATCCCTGCTTCCCCTGCTCCTCAACACTAACAGCCACCTAGAGACATCTTCAAAACTGACTTCAAGGCCCATGAAATCAAGTCAAACCAACACATTCYCTTCCTCCCCAAAGGGCTGGTATGGTGAGGTAAGGAAGAGGGGGACAGAACAGCAAGGGATGTGAAACCTYAAGAGTATTTGGAATTTACATAACAGAAACAATTTAAGGAAGAAGATGGGAAAATTTAGTTGCATCTCCAACGACACTCCCATTTTTTTCAGTTTYGGGTGGAGATGCTTATCTTTATTTCCGTTTCTGATTCTGCATGTAATTTCCCATTTTTGCTTTGCATTCCAGAGTCTTGTAGTATCCGCCAAGACAGCTTCACACGAAACAGAAATTACTTTATGCTACTTACATGGAGCATTTTAAGAAATGCATGGTATCATGCATGACCACTGCTCATGACAACTAAAAAACCTGCATTTCTAAAGGCAGAAGATGTTGCAAAACAAATATATGAGACTAGCATTCTAATGTGACAACAAAATTTTCCAAGTATTTTGGATATTAACTGTATTGCAGAAGAACTGTGTTCTCAAAATCCTACCAAGAAAAAAAAAAGTGGAAAAAAGTCCAAAAAGTTAGAATTGAGTAAGGCACCCCATTAACTCCTCTCTCACCCTGCAAAACTAATAGCATGAAAATAGTTTGTCTTTTCTACTTTTACAGCTGCTGGCTCAGAATTACACCAGAAATCTGCCAAAGCTCAGAAGTGAGGCTAGTCCAACCAAGTCAGGCATGGGACTTTCAGCCATTAAAATTGCCTGTGCTCATTGATAACGTCTTAAGTTTTCACTAGTCATTCACTGTCCACATTTATGTCCACAGTTGTCACTCTGTTTCTGTAAGGTTAGGCAGGACTCATGCCCAAGCGTTAGGAATGGTCCTTGTCTAATGTAAAGGAAAAAGAAATCAAAAAAGTTCCAAGATGTCTCAAGTCTGGAACATTTGTCCAAGACTATTCAGTCATCAACAGGATGCTTGAAGTCTATGATTCAGTTTCCCCACAAATAAGTAATTCTACAGTGGGTGGTACCATGCTAAGATGTCATTTGCCCAGCTCTTAAAGAACACACAAAAAATGTTATTCAATAGTGACTGACTGAAAGAGTGGCTTTTTCAATTATTTTCAAAGTATTATAGAGGTTATCTTTAATTTTAATAGAAGCTGCACCAACAAATTTCAGCTTCTTACATGGCTAGGAAAATATGCTCACAATATCATGACACAGTTGGTAAATACTGCTTGCTGTAGAGAAACATAATACAGTGTGCCATGCAGATTTTCACTTATTTCCTTACAGATCCATTATTCTACAGACAGCAATAACTCAGTTCACCTACAAAGTTGCTAGTTGCCCCACCAGTAAAGTCACTAAGCAGCGGCAAACAAAAAAAACGACAAAAAAAAAGCAAACAAAAAAAGCATACTTTTCAACTGCATGACAACAGATTAGAAGTAGAGAAGTGAAGAACACCTTCAGAATTTTGATAGATTCAGGAAAGTACTTCCAAAATATTTCAAAAATGCTAGGCATCAGCTTTTCTAAATTTCACTTTCATTTTAAACAAACTGAACAAGGCAAAGGGTGACCTGTATTAGTGATTCAAAGCACCCAGCCTGGGCCCACAGAACTTCAAAACTGACGTGGCATGCTTCACCTGTTCACTGCGTAGAAGGGCCATGTTGTTTGAACACAGTACTTCAAACGAATCTCTTTCTGACAACTACTTAACAAAAGCACTCAAATCATTTCCACAAAGGTATTTGTGAGGACAACMGACAAGTCTAACAGACAAGGAGCAAGTCTATTAGGAGTAGTAAAGCRTATTCTTACCTCTTTAGAATCATCAATTCGCTCAAAATAAACAAAAGCAAATCCTCTGGATCGTCCAGTCCGCTGATCATAAACCACGTTGACTCCAGTCAAAGGTCCATAACGGGAAAAGACTTCACGCAAATCTCTCTCGGTGGTATACAAACTGAGACCAAACACTCCAAGACAAGTATTTGGATCTGGATTAGCCTGGTAAGACAAAGGTTCAACTCCAATTAAATTTAAACACTATCAACCAAATTTCCCTTTTTCAATTTTGTTATTAAAAAGATATAACTTTAGAAAACTAAACTCTCTTATTCCAATAACAGTGAACATTCCAATCTTAAGGTATTTTCAAAAAGCAATTTTTTCTTTTTTACAYTAAGACAGATCTAAACTTTTCATGTTAAAGATTCTGATTTGCTGTTCAGAAAAACTAGGCATTTTGATTATAAAACAGACGTAGAAAAGGAAGCTGTTTTTATTAGTGTTTTCCACTTGAATCACCCACAACCTGGAGATGTGTTATGGAAGTCTACACTTGGGAATTTAGGCAGGCTTGCCATTCTCATCTTGTGCCCTTCTGGAAGGTCACCACTGGTACTCAACAGTGCATGCTATCTCCCATTTCACAAACTAAATGCATCTGAGCCACTACATATGAACAATAACTTAGCTTCTGCTAAAACAGGTTACTTCCTCTCTCCTCTATGTTACCTATTCAATCATACTGAAAGTCAACATTTACATTTGAAAGTTTCTCAGTCCAGTTGTAATTAACCAGATAGATGACGCATGTGATATTCGTCCAATCTGTAAGTATYGAAGTGTTCTGTGAAACAGTAACCCCTAAAGAAAAACTCCTAAAGCAGGCAAACAATTTACACATTTTAYTTCAACTAAATCTACAGAGTCAAATAAAATTATACAACATGCACTGCAAGTCAGCTTCCAACTCGATTCAGCATTTTTGTATTTAGCTTTTCCATATTCTATTGAGCTTCTATAATGACACTTGCAAGGAGCTTAAAATAGCAAAAAACTTCGACCAATTTTTACAGTGGACCTGTAATAAAATTTAAAATRGCAGTTAACATGCATAGAGATTCTAAAGTTTGTTAAAATAATGGAAAATTGACACAGTTGAACTGAAACTTGTTAATTCAATTTCAGATTTCTAAACTATAATGCACTGTAGTTTATTCTTCAGAGTTGGCCTTTCAAATTAACTCAACAAACAGGTTGAGCTCTTCTGTCTCGTACCTCTTCCAACCCCATTCTACTGTTTCTGAGATAAAGATGTCAATTTTTAAGTAAAACTTCGCATTTCAGAGTTTAATTCTACAGCAAAGGAGAACTTTGCTTTAAATTCTGCTGAGTTAAGAAACAAATTCAAATTAAAAGCCAGTGTAAAAATATTACACTGTCCCTAACTGCCCCTTACTCATGAACCCTTTTCTGAGGCGAGATGTGCAAATTGCTTCTCAACACTTCAGTAACAAGTGACAGTTACATCACGATTGGAAGGAATTCTGTGGAGGCTAAAAGCCAGTGCTTACGTCTCCAAGCTCTTTCTACAAAGTGAGCAGAAGTAGCAAAATCTGTATCAGTTTTTCTGATGCCTTTAGAATGTCTTTCATTTACAGGATAAAAATCTGCTTGGTTAAAGTCAAGTTCTAAGAAATAATTCAAATAGCATCAAAATTAATGTTGAATTCGAAAAGGACTTGGTATTACAGAGTCATTTCCAAGGCAAAAGAAAGAAATATTCTTATTTCTAAAATACTAGCAGAGATTCACTTGTATTTCTCCAGGAAATCTGCTAACCCTTTTAATGTTGTTATTCATGTCAGTTTTTCCAACACATTAAGTTCACGTTTGCCAAACTATTATTACACACAGCAAACTATCTGCAAAATGCGTAACTATATATGCTGCCTTGCCACAGCTTAAGCCACTGTACATTAATACTGCTGCATTGGGCTCTCTTCCACAAACCCTTGTCTTCTTGCTCACACTGACATTTATCTGATTCTGGTGAGCTGCTTCAGAGAGGTAAGCCTGCAAAAAAAGCCATCCATTCTCTTTTTGATAGAATTAGTGAAAGAAATCAGTGAAACTGAACCACATGGAAACCCGTAAGGATCAGAAAATTACAAGTCCTCACGAAGGAAGAGACGGACCTAAAGCATGTCTATCATTGTGAACTGATGGGGAACAACAAGCTATTACAAGCAAGGACTTTGAGGGAAAAGTTCTCAGAACAATATGGCACTCGTATTAGGATCTTGGCTATTCTTCCTGTCCACACAGAACTACTGGGTTGCTTCTCATTTACAGAGGCTTATCGATCCTTTTCTCTAACTGTAAAATATTTTGGTCTATTAAGGTTTACATAGCAACTAAAAATATAAAGTTTTTTTCTCCAAATCACAGCAAATTCATTATTTAGAGGCAGAAAAATGCTATGGACATTGAACATAACTTGAGTTATATGAAATAAATAGCTGAGAATTTACTTCTTTTGCTCCTCTAGTCAATTTTGGGGTAGATATTTTTGTATTTTCTTTGTTCTTGTTTTCCCCTCTGTGAAGGATACATAAACTTGGAACTATCATCTCAAAAATAAAAAATTGAATCAGGAATAAGGCTTCAATTTCCACAGTAAAGGAAACATATTTTTCTAGGCATACTGACTTGCAATACTGTGGTTTCCAAAGAATTCTAAGTGCCTTCCTAGTCATAAACCTAAAAAATAGGCGTCTAGTTGTAAGGACAAAGCTTGTTGCCTCCCCAAAACCAATTGTCACACCATCCAAAGACAAAGCAGCAGGTTAGATTTACCCAGCACATCACCTGGACTACACTAATGCGAGTAAAAATTGTTTTGTTGATACTCATCCTTGATGAACATGACATACTCTGCTGCCAGTGTGCCTTCTCCTGTTGGACATGGGAGAATGACTACGGCTCCTTCGACGACGGTACTCTGGTGTGTATGATCTGCTTCGAGAACGTCTCCTATGGGAATGAGAATGGGAATGGGATCTGGATCGAGTGTAACGTCTGTGCGAATGCCTTCTGGACCTGGATCTTCAACAGAGAAAAAGCTTTTAGTTAGGTCATATGTATCATGTATTGATTTGTAAGCCTTACATTTCCCAGACAGAATCTTAAATTCATTTGAGAGAGGCTCACAACAAGTAGAATAGCTTAGTTTCTTCTAAAATATGCATTTATAACAGTATCCGCAGGTGAAGTTTGTCGAGAAAAAAACGCTTGTCAAAAACAAAACAAATAAAACAAAAGCCACCACACAAACAACAGAACAAGTAAATTGCTAAAGGGTTTTTTTTTTTTTTTTGTAGTCACCCAGCCAATGATAAACTCCATTTGAAACCAGCACCATCCTGTTAAGTCACACACTTTGATACAGAGATATATTGCAACAGTAGTTGTAGTAGTTGTTAGTTATTTGGCTAAGCACAGCAAGAACAGAAGCTATAGCATTAGGCTGGGTTTGATATTTTAAAGAAAAACAACTCTTTCTATACCATCCTGCTGAAGTGAACAAGGCAGACGGATTATTGCAATTACTGCTTGTGCAGACAATCTCAGGGTAGAAAAGGACAGAGTCATGTGTAGCTCCATACGATTAATTTAAACCTAAAGCAGTTCTCCACACTCACTTTAAGCTATAAGCTATACTTCTTTTTGTTTTTAAAACCTCTAATTAAACTATTTCTTGAACCACCACAAGTAGTCTGTTTCAATACTTCACAGAGCTTACTCCTTTTCTCTAACTCAGAAAAAGGACTAGACCCACTGTTGAAGTTTTTAATTGCCATTCTTCCTTTTCTTTTCCCTCTCATACATATCCACCAACAGTCTTGTTAATACACCCCCAGAAGATGATTTATACTTTCTGTAACAACTCTGAGCAACCTAAGAGAACAGGTAGTAAAACTGAATTGATTTGGAGTACTTCCTGGACGTACCTTGATTTTGATCTTGATCTAGAGTGCGATTCAGAATGTTTGGAAGCCCTCGATGGACTGCGAGATCCTGACCTGCTCTCCGATTTTACACGAGCAGGACTCCCAGCTGGGGATTTTGACTGGGAGCGAGACTCCTAACAAAAAAGACAGTATTACAAATGGTACTGGTTGCATAAATGCCTAACTCCTAACATTTAAAGTACAGTAATTATATTATATTGATTGCTCCTGAAAAACAAATGGTTAGGCAATACCCTCCAGAGCAAATTTCATTTTGCTAGCCCACTGTTAATATTGTATGCTCTCCTCAAATAGTTCCCTACTCGAACCAGATCACCAATTCTCTATTAACTAAGCAATCATGCAAATTCATCTACAACTTGATCATACAGACACTGGAACATAAACCATACATTTACTTAACCTAGGACCCATTCATTCTTCCAGATTCTTTTAATTCTACTTCACTCTTGCTTTCTACTTTTCTTCATTCTTCATTGAGTTTTTCATTTTTCATACTTCGTGTATTCTTCCCCAATTCAAACAATTCATTATAGCCTTAAAAAAACATTCAAGTGCTTCTATCTGACCAATCTTCTGTTCAATTTTTTCCCCCATTCAATTTTAATTTTCTGATCTTTAATACTTTTCATTAGCCTTCTTTTATCTTGATTTATCTTCCACATTCTTGGAAAAAACTCTTCAATCTCTTCACGAACATTAACCTTAATGGAAAAAGAACATTTAGTATATTTAAGCACGTGGGGATTATAAAACTCTGCTGGAGTTCAGATGTTATCTACCAAATTGAAATGCCAGCAGGTAAAGTGCAAGAAACTATTTTATAAAACAATTTAAAAAAAATATTTAAAATTGTATAAGTTTCTATGTTCTAACAACGAGCTTACTGAGTTCTCAGTGCTTTACTATATTTGCAAAGCTACCCTCCTCCCCTTTCAGATTCATTTTTGCAAGATACATAGATGTACTAAAAACTAATTAGCACAAATACATTAAAACTGATACCAGTAAGTGTGCTTCCCCCCCTAAAATAACAATACTTCTCAGTGTTAAATAACCCAGATTCTACTCCTATACATTATTACTAGACACTCAATTCAAACTGTCCAAAGATTTCCAAACAAAACCTATCTGTGCACATACTTACTCAAATACTATATGTACATAGATATATGCAGGACAAATTACTTTTCTTCCTATGTTTTCTTCCTCATTGTTATCCTGTTTTCCTTGCACATAACTTAATCCATAGAAAGCAAGACATAAAATTGCATATTTCAAAGCAATCTATTAAAAGGAAAGACAGGAGACTTTCTTGCATAATAATGCACACAACAGAAAAACTAGGAAAACAAGCAAACAGAGCAAATTAGGATTACCTCCTGTTTCAGTACAGGAATAATATTTCTAAAAAGCCCAGCTATACATAAAAAAGGGAAAGAAAAGAAAGAAAAGGTATGCTATATATATGTCTGTAACTTCAAAACAATTGTACAAAATTCTTTATAAAAAAAAGGAAAGCAAGTTGCCTTTCCACAAAGGTAACACTTTATTCTTATTTTCAACCATTTTTCACCTGCTCATCCTCACCATTTTTTTTCTCATCTTGCTGCTTATTCTGCCCATGTTGAGTTCATGTCTTCCATCCCCAGTTCAGTTCAAAGTACTCAAGAATTTAAGCCCTTTCCAAAGGACTCTGTATCTCCATATTTTAAAACAATAAATCCACCATAAATAGAACTTGAAACACCCCTTACTAACATCACAGCTAGAGCTGTACCCATACTTCTCCACTTTACCTTGACAAAAGGACAAGAGATAGATGGGGAATATCACCTATTGGAATGAAAGGCATGACATACTTAACAACGAAGGCTAATTTCAAAGTTTAGCTGCGACATGTGGCCCACTGTATCAGGTCTGCATTGCAGGCTACCCTTATTAAACTGCTATCTACTGATCTCAATGGATTGCACTGAAACAAGGGAAGGATACAAACTCACATATTACCAAAATATTATTTGGTGTTTTTACTTTATATCAAAAATCCCTTAAAAATATATTTCCTTTTAGAGCCATTAACATAATTTTTTATTTACCTTTTTTCTAACTTTGTACTCTTGTTCCATAGTCTCACTATATTTTCCCTTTACCCTAACTACATCCCCTGTAACAATTCCTAAATCCTACAGGAATTTCTCTCCTCTCCCTATTTAAAAAGATCATCAATACAGGAAAAAAAACAACTTATGTGACATTGTTCAAATTTAGAACAGCTCTTCCAACTAAAAGACAAGAATTCACCCTCCTCAGTCATTGCTTCATAGGGATGCTTTACATTTGAAACACCATTTCCTTAACTTTAACTTTGGAAATGTAGGAATAAAAGAAAACAGATACAGCACAATCCAGAAGTATTGGGAGGCAACAAAAACATTGAGGTCCCAATCACTTCCATACAATATAATAAATTAGCTTCGTGTCCTCAGTTAAATCAATTGAAGCATTTTAAGGCCTTGCTCACAGGGATCCTAGTAGTACCAATTATAACAACCCATCTTGTCTGGCAACTTCAAGTTGCCGGAAGCAAATATTATATCACTCCATGCAGGTCAAGACCTTTTAGAATTATCTGCATTGCTCCAAAGGGTTTAACTTCCATACAAGTTCAAAATTGTGACAGAGATGATAGCAGGAGTTCTTATACATTCCAAAACTTCCTCAAACAAAGAAACTGAAGACATGAACTGCAGCTAAAGAGAGATTACCTGTTAGCAGTTGTATACTGTGTCTGTCATTGGCAGGCAATTACATCTCATCTTCTGATGCAACATAGATCACCTAGTTATATTCTCCTACACATCTTCAAAAGCAGGGTCTAAGGGAATCACAGTAATCTGCAAGAGCTTAAGGATGATACTGGAAAAGGTATCTATTAAAGATTTATATCAGCATCACTAGAAGCACGGATTAAGAGATTCACAGCCTCAAGTAGTTGCAGATATCTGAAAGAATTTTCCTCCTTTATTGCCATATAGGAAACAATGAATATCTGTCACAATCATATTACAGGCAGATATGACTGTTCTGCACAAACAGTTTATATCCATTCTGYAACATGAGCATGAAATTTTTTTAATTAAAAACAAATTAATATTCTTATTATGTTATCTTCAATGACAGCAAAGAAACAACCATACTAGTCAAAGCATTAAAATCTCTCAGTTCTTTACTAGTCCTAAAGCAAACTAAGAATTCTGTTCTCTGGTCCATTTTTAACCCAGACCTAAATTTGACTACTGTTCAAGAGAAAGAAGGCTACAGTTTCTCTCTTGATCCTCAGCAATTTTGTACACTTCTGTTCCAAAGATCTTCATCATTCAAGGGCCACAGTTAAGACTGTTTCTTGGACTCAACTTCTCATCCCAAAATAATCTTACAAATTACTGTGCATATTAATGCCTTCTGTTTTACTGTGCAACTGTTCGGCCACTACTCTCATCCTTATAAGCTTGCAGACGGCTACMTGTGGTGACCATGTGAAACAATCTATATTCACTGTCACTACAGTTTGTAAGGTAGACAGACAGCTAACTACCTAAAATTATTCAAAGCAGACTTTTCTTTTTAAACAAGCACTGCACCTGCCAACTATGTTTCCCACTTAAAAAAACAATAAAAAATGTATACTTCCTTAGAAGAGTTACTGGGGAACAGGATTAATGATTCACCAACTAATGAGTGGAATTTGGAGCCAGAGAAATTATAGGTGAACAGCAAATCTAGACAGCAGCTTCATAGCATAGCTTCATTCTGCTAGGTAAGAAAATGCAGAACTAAAAGCTGTTACAGAAAGCATTGATTACTTTTCATCTCTGCCACTATTTCTTTTCTCACAAAGGGCAGTATGGAACAGTGATATGGACAGGGCATGAGCCCCCCTCTGCCATGTGACTTCATGATCACATAAATTCAATCACTGATTAACTAACTTGTCAACAGCTTAAGATGAGCCGGCTGAGCAAGGCAACAATCCCATCAACAGATTTCACATCGTTCCAAATGTTAAAATTATATAAATGTTAGGTATAACTTGTGTCAATCATCTTCCTTACATTCCTGAAAAAAGTGATGCTTTTTTCAGCTATATTCAGATGCTATGCTTTCTAATATAATTACAAAAACAAAACACTGAAAGCAGTTCTATGCAGAGTAGAACTGCRAGAACCTTTCAGAAACATTCAGCTAGAGTAGCCCACATAGAGGGTATGACCAAAAAAAAAAAGTTCTCTCATGTCACTGTCTTCATATTTGTGTTTTTCATGCCTTCAAGGCTAACAAAATGTAAAGGGAGGCTTTAAATTTAAGTTAGCTTAGGCTTTCTGTAACAACCCAGAAGTGAAATAGGAGGGAAAGAAGGAAAGCAATGGAAATGCAAAGAAACCTCAGTTGGAAATCATTTGGCCTTTTTATGAAGAAATAAAAAAAATGTAGGGAGAGGGGGGGGGAAAAAAACTAGCTAGCAAAATGGTTGTTCAGACACTAGAGATGCCCTTAAAAATAGAAAAAAAAAAGTGAAAACAAAAGTAAAAAAGACAGAAAATTCAAACTTTAAAAAAGGATGAAAAAACATAAGCAATCAAAAAAGAGCTAGAAAAATGAAACACATTCACTGGATGAAACTGTCAATATAGAGGCATCTCATATCAGAAAAGAATGATATATTTTAAATATCATTTTGACAAAAACTTACCAACCTTTCCTGAAGTTCACAATTAGTTAACTTTCATCTTTAATCTATGTCCTATCACTCTACACTAAAAATAAAACTAATTCCTTAAGAGCCACTCTTTATTAATATTTCAATAGTGAATATAATAAGCTTCTATATGAAAAGACAAACCCTATGGTGTGCTGCCTTGGAGGCAGATATATTTATAATGTCAGCAATTAACAAACTACATGCTCTTATCTGATGCCACTTCGATGAGAAAAAAAAGTTTCAGCATWGCAATTTACGTTTTATCTTCTCAATGTGGCTGTTCAAAGAAGGTTGAACAGGCAATATTTGCCTGTTCAAAGAAGGTTCATTTATTAACAGTTTGATTAAATAAAGAGGAGTTTAAAACAAACAAAAACTAGGACTATCACTGCACTTTTCAAACTACTGCACRCTGGCTTGCCTGTTTTCTATACATTCTGAAAAGCAAACTGCCTCCCTTTCCACTGAAGTGGAACRTTGCCACTACCAGAGAGATTTAACACTACAGTCACCTAAAGAGACTTGCTCAAATTTCCTCTGAAACAAAGAAACAAATCTTAAGATTGAMCAGACTTAGGCAGTTAATATTAGAATGTGTATAAAGTCTTTTTTTTTTTTTTTTTAATGCAAGCTTAATGAAGAAATAAGGCATTTGCAATTTATCAGGTCAAAAAGTCACTTGCATAGGCATTAACTATAGGCATACTTCCCTCAAGAAGATGGCTCACATGCAAAAATCAGGCATTTCTTTCARTGATTATTAGACTGTGCTATAAAATACTGTGTAGAAAGCAGGAAGAGGCATCTCATGATCAGAATCAAGGAAGGCAAGAATAAAACTTGAGTTCTAAAATTGAGTTCTGCCTTTGTTTTGATTTAAAACTACATATTTTTAAATAAAATTGTTAATAAAACAGTATATTAATATTGACAGAAAACAACTAAACTTTTCAGATTATGGAAACCAAACTTATCAGAAACTCAGAAAAACAACTGATCAAATACCTTTGTATTCGAGTGGAGTGTATTTGTAAGTGGAGTTTCTAGACTGCAGGCTTGTTCAGACCACAATTTGTTCTGTGTTCTGAAAAACCTTATAAAGTTACATTGCAGACTACATGCCAGAAGAGCAGTGTGTTATTAGCAACAACTGGACAAACAAAAGGAAGGAAAACTTAATCCTTGCTCGATTCTGTCTGTTCCCTGATAATAGTAGAAGAGAAAAAGCCTCATTTGTCTAACCAATTCAAAAAGAACATTCAATAGTGATAAAAAAAATCTGGAAGTTTTCCAAAATTCAAGTCATTGGATCAATAATATAAAATCTCTTTTTTCCTTTCTAATGCCCATAACCTTAACTCTAGCAAGGTCCTATATCTTGGTATAAGATTTCATTGCCACTTCTCGCAATTTTCATTAGAGCCTTTCGTCTATGCTGATGAAATGTGAAAGAACAAACTGAACTGCCTTGCTTCTATGGCATTTAGATATCTAAAAGCCCATCACAAATTTACTGTGTAGGAGAGAAGGATTGGGGGGAGGGGACGCAAAGCAGAGGAGGAAAAGAGGATAAGGGAGGGAAACTAAGAGAACTGAAAGACTGCTTAGAATTCTCCTTTGTGGCAACTTCCAGGAAAGCAGTTGTTTGTTGTTGTTGTTAATAGCAACAACAACACAAAACAAATGCAAGTTTTCCAGTTTCTGTAGTTCTTTCACCCATTTAAAATTTTTGCCATACTCTTACAGATCGGTGTGTGTGTGCACGCGCACACACATACATATAATAAACTGAAGTACTAGCACATTCAGTGAATAAAACTTCTACTCAATTTGGATAACAGATTAAACACTAAACTTCCAGCAGAAATGAATTATAAAACATTGCAGCCTAAAATATCACTTGTTATTCTGATTATTTTTAATAAGAAACAAAAAATTACAAAAAACCCACACCTACTGTTCAGAAGCGCTCTTATTTTGTAGGGCAAACCCCAAAACCATAAAGTAGTGGCAATGTCAGTTGCACTGGTGGGGGGAGGAAGAAAAAAAAAAAAAAAAAGTAGGCAACAGTGCCACATGCTGATTCAGAAATTCCACTACTAGGAGAGAGAAAAGAATAAATGTTTTCCAAATGGAAGCTCAACAAGGTAAGCGGCCCTCTCCAACAGGTAATGTTTTTACCACCCAAAAAGGACAAGTCAACTGAAGTAGCAGTCACAGAAACAGGACTTTTCGGTGTAAAAATAGGACTTTTCAGTGTAAAAATCCATTATTTTTAAATCCATTTCCAC